ATTTTAATTAAATGATAGTTATTTTGTGAATTTTATGTCTGTAGGAATTTGGTATACGTTTCAGTTGAAGTAAACGTGTATGGAAATAATTTAAATATTTGACACTAAGTATTTGTAACTATTTTTAATGTTTGCGTATAAATTCGTTGGTGACGTTTATAATATAATAGATAATTTAGAGGTAAAAGCTTTTGGATATTTTATTTATTTTATACGTGGAAACGTTCATTCTTGGAAAGGGTATATACTTTTTCGTATATACCCTTTCCAAGATGTATATACTTTATATATCAGGTAATTTCATATATGTGTTTTTACTTTTGATTAAGAAAATTTCCTGCATTTCGTAAGGAAAATTTTCCTGCATTTTGTGCAATTTAATTTTTTGATGAGAAAATAGCAGTGTAGATGGATAAAGTTAAGAGTGTGTGCAATGCCATTTTTGTGCAATTCTTTGATTTTTTTAAGTAAAAATAAGTCGACGTGTAAATTGTTATGTGTATGTGCTATTCTGAAAAAACACACAAGGAGTTTGAGATTGTGCACTTTTTCCCAATTTTGCAGTTAATATTTGTCATGATTAAGCAGTTTTGTTACATAAAATTCTAGCATAAGTGTAATTCGGCTAGCAGATGTTGGAAAAAGTGTTGAGTAAATAAAAGAAAAAAGAAAATGTCTTACTTCGTGAAGACAAAAATGGCGGCGGAAAAAAAAAAAAATAGAGGGTTGCTGTAGCAGAGTTGGTCGCCAAATTTTCGCCAAAAAATCGCCAAGTTACTATAATCCAAAGATCAACCCAAATGGCAACTGCAAAATTGGGAAAAAGTGCAGAATCGCAAACTCCTTGCTGCGTTTTTCAGAATCGCACATATACAGTAACCATGTACACTTCAACTTATTTTTACTTAAAAAAAATCCCAGAATTGCACAAAAATGGCATTGCACACACTCTTAACTTTATCCATCTACACTGCTATTTTCTCATAAATTACAAAAATTTGCACGAAAATGCAGGAAAATTCTGTGAATCTTTAAACTCAGTAAAAAGCACATATATGAAATTACCTGATCGCGAAAAAGTATTTTACCCTTTTACAATATGAACATTTCCACATATAAATAAATAAAATATCCAAAAACTTTTACCTAAATTATCTATTATAAACGTCACCAACGAATTTATAACGCAAACATTAAAAATGGTTACAAAATACTTAGTGTCAAATACTTAAATTATTTCCATGCACGTTTACTTCCACTGAAACATATACCAAATTGCTACAAACATATTAATTCACAAAATAACTATCATTTAATTAAAATAAATTAAACCATGTACACGTCGACTTTATTTTTACTTAAAAAAAACATCCCAGAATCGCAGAAAAATGGCACTGCGCACACTCTTCACTATATCCATGTACACTGCTTTTTTCTCATAAATTAGAAAAATTTCACGAAAATGCATGAAAATTTTGTGAATCTTTAAATTTGGTAAAAAGGACATATATGAAATTACCTGATCGCGAAAAAGTATATACCCTTTCCAAGGATGAACATTTGCACGTATAAAATAAATGGTACTTTTCCGTTTGGCCGGCGCAAATCTCGCCAAGCAGACTTTATTGGCGACAACATACAGTATACACATAAAAAATGTTAATTCTAAGAATTCTTTTTTTGAAGGCATAAACATTTTAATATCGCTTAAAATTTTATAAAAAGCCAATAAATAAAGACAGTAAATTTGTAAAAAGACATTAATTTAAGAATTTACTATGCTTTCATGGTTCAACATCTTGATTCGCTGGTTCATATCACGTGACCCCAAGCGATCTCATCTCACGTAAACTACTCTACAAAAATCTAATGCTCGCAGTAATTATCTACATGAATTTCAAGTTAAATCTTAATTTGGAACACAAGTTTAAATGCAAGAAATATATCAATTCGTACGAATAGCTTACTCAGAAATTATGTAAAGCTGCAGTGCTTTACTTCGCTAATGCATTCTCGTTAGAATTGATGAATTTAACCCTTGACTTACATTTCTATATTTTCGGCTTCGGGTAAGCGCTGTGATTGCATCCTGATCGACTTAATTACCGAAAATGGCCTTAGACATAAAACTGAACTATCTGATAAAAATTCTATGTAATTATATGCCACTATTGAAAGAAACAATCAATCTGATAAGAAAAAGCTGCGACTTGTTTTGAAAATGAGGCGTAAAAGGTTACCAGCGAGAATATTCCGTTTGGCATCGGTTGTACCATTATTGGCGACTTTATCGCTTGCGCCGGCAAAACGGAAAAGTACCAAATAAATAAAATATCCCAAAACTTTTACGGCTGATCTTTGGAATATGGTCACTGCTAGTTTGACGACATTTTGGAGGCGATAAAGGTTACGACCTAGGACTTTGGTTATAATGTGAGAAGTACTCAGTTCGGATTACGCATAATTTTGCGTGAGGGAAATGAGAGATCATGAGATATGTCATGTGACATTAATGAATGAATTACAGTTCTTTAAGCAGAAAAGGGGGGAAATCGGGAAAAAATCTGGAAATTTTGTATTTAGCTTTATTCTGTGTTGTGTGAAACAGTGTTCGTTAATTTTTGGATCCCATGGCCCGTAACTAAAGTGAATTCGAAATGGGTATTTAGTGGTATTGAAAAGGGTAGTAATAAATGTTTCTTTAAGGTTGTGCAAGATAGAAATAAAGATGTTTTATTAAGTTATTTATTTTACCTGGTACCTTGCTGTGAAATATGAGTATGATTTTAAAGATCCTGAAACAGAAAGAAGAAAAGTTTATCGGACACGTAATCAAGATTCTGAAGAAGATTAGGTAAGTTAGTATTTTTAATTATTTGACGATATTATTTTTATGCATTGTTCTAAATGTAAGGTGGAAGTAAAGGAATTTGGTATTATTGGGAAAATTGTTATTAGCAATGATTTAATTTAAAGTAGTTAGGATTGTAAGGTAATTTTTTTTAATTTAATGTATGTGCTCATTTATATTTTAAGAAGTGTTTTTGAATTTAATTAAAATTTAATTAAATGATAGTTATTTTGTGAATTTTATGTTTGTAGGAATTTGGTATACGTTTTAGTTGAAGTAAACATGCATGGAAATAATTTAAAAATTCTGACACTAAGTATTTGTAATGGTTTGCGGTATGAATTCGTTGGTGACGTTTATAATATAAATAGATGATTTAGAGGTAAAAGTTTTGGATATTTTATTTATTTTATATGTGGAAATGTTCATATTTGGAAAGGGTAAATACTTTTTCGCGATCAGGTAATTTCATATATGTTCTTTTTACCGGGTTTAAAGATTGAGAAAATTGTCATGTATTTTCGTGACATTTTTCTGATTTATGAGAAAAAAGCAGTGTACATGGATATAGTGAAGAGTGTGCGCAATGCCATTTTTGTGCAATTCTGGGATGTTTTTTTAAGTAAAAATAAGTCAGCGTGTACATGGTTCTAAATCTAATGTTCTAAATGTTCTAATGTACAATGTTCTAAATGTGTATGTGTTATTTTGAAAAACGCCTAAGGAGCATGGTATTGTGCACTTTTTCCCAATTTTGCAGTGAATATTTGTCATGATTAAGCAGTTTTGTTAGATAAAATTTCTAGCATAAGTGTAATTCGGCTAGTAGATTGTTGGAAGAAGTGTTCAGTAGATAAAAAGAAAAGAAACATGTCTTTACTTCGTGAAAACAAAATGGCGGCGGGAAAAAAAAAAATAGAGGGTTGCTGTAGGAGAGTTGGTCGCCAAAAAAACGCCAAGTTACCATAATGTAAAGATCAACCATATATTGTTTTCTGTGTTAACTGGAATTTAAGACAAATTTTTTTCGTATATCACGTTTAAAAGGTTAATTTTAGTATATTAATACTAATTTATATTTTTTAAATGAATTTTTATTTCCGTTATAAATGCTTATATATTGTCTTTTGCTTAATAATATATTCTTTTCTGTGCTAACTTGAATTTAATACAAATTTATTTTCGTATATCACGTTTAACCCTTTAGTTTTACATCTACATGCATATTATCTGTGAATTTTTACTACCATATGCTTAATATATTGTTTTATCTGCTAACTTGAATTTACATGCACTAAAAATCACGTTTACGGCTCGGCTCATCGTCGATGAACCGCGAGCTTGGCGAGTAAGAATGCAACAGCGCCAACGGGTTCTCTGCGGATGAAAACCTAAAAATAAAAATACTTTCACTTACCTGAAAAGGGATAATCCACTCCACTCAGCCCCAGAACGAAAAGTAACGAATTCTCGAATTATTGTTTAAAACAACTGCACCTCTACCATCTATTATCATCTACACCAATCAGAAATTCTAAATTTTAGAATACATACTGAGCATGTGTGAAAATGCTTCGAATTTCGCACTCAAAAGAAATTCTCAATTTAAAATACATACTGACGCAATGGCGAATTTGTGCAATTCTTAAAAACGTGCCAAGCAGTGATTCTGCACTTTTCCCTATGGTAATACTAATTTAACGAATGCCATTAAACAAAATTTGAAAATAATGCAACTTCCAGTTCTAATGTAGAATTGAGTGCCCCTTCGATTAGCAGCAAATTTTGTTCAGTTTTCGCGATGAAACCCCACTTCTGGTTACCATGATAGTTTTAACTTCCTGATTTTTTAAAGTGAAAATAGATCGATGTGTACATGGACAAAGGCAGTGCGTAGTGCCTAATTTGTGCAATTCTCTGATATTTTTTTAAGTGAAAATAGATGGATGTGTACATGGACACCAAATTTGTGCAATTCTTTAACTTTGTATTTTGGTATTATGCAGCAGCCATACTGAAATTGTGCCTTCCTGGTGCAAATCTTGGCTAAAAAAAAAGGGGCACCCAATTGTAAACTTTTATCCCATTTTTCTCTCTTGTGAAACAAATAAATGGATTATTTTTTATTTCGATAAGATAATTTACATACCTCATACAGCATCACCAGTAGGTTGCATGTCACCTGGCAACACCTCCAGAAATCCTAACACTGAGTATCTCTCTAAATTCAGTCATTTGGAGCATTTGACCCTGTCTTGACCTCACATAATGAGGTTTTGCTGCATATACAAGTCCTTACTGTATCAGTAAGTAGAGATTGTTACAAATTTAGTATCTCCTGAAAAAACAAGGTTTCTCATTTGTGTAAATAAAACTTGTATTGTCCAAATAACTTCTTACATACACAACTCATTACATTTCTCTCCTATACGGATATGCATATTAAAATCCCTTTTAGTGTAAATCATTTTTTTATATACCTTAGACAGAAGGTTTTTTCGCTGTGTGAATATGCATATGCCTCTTTAAATAAGTCTTTCGACTAAACGACTTCTTACATTCTTCACACACATGAGTCTTCTCTCCTGTATGAATACGCATATGGGTACTTAAATGGCCCCTTTGAGTGAACGACTTTTTACATACATCACACACATGAGGTTTTTCTCCTGTGTGAATAAGCATATGAACATTTAATTTACCTTTTTCAATAAATGACTTCTTACACACTTCACACACATGAGGTTTATCTCCTGTGTGAGTAAACATATGCATTTTTAATCTACTTTTTTCAATAAATGACTTTGTACATACTTCACACACATAAGGTCTCTCTCCAGTGTGAAGAAGCATATGATTGTTAAATTTACTTTGTTGAGTAAATGACTTATCACACACTCCACACACATAAGGATTGTCTCTAGTGTGAATAAGCATATGACTCTTTAAGTCACTTTTTTCCACATATGATTTGTTACATACATCACATACATGAGGTTTCTCTCCAGTGTGAAAAAGCATATGATTGATTAATTTTATTTTCTGAATAAAGGACTTTTTACACTCCCTACACACATAAGGTTTATCCCCAGTGTGAATACAAATATGCCTGCATAAAGCACTCATTTGCCTAAATGACTTGTTACATACTTCACAAACATATGGTTTTTCTCCAGTGTGAATGAGGATATGCTGATATAAACCACTCTTGTCCTTAAAGGACTTCTTACATACCTCACAGATATGAGGTTTGTCTACTGCACGAGTACATGTATGATTTTTCAATTTATTTTTTTCGATAAATGACTTCTTACATATTTCACATTCATGAGGTGTACACATATGATTTTTGAATTTACTTTTTTCAATAAATGACTTCTTACACACTTTACAGACATGAGGTTTCTCTCCTGTGTGAATAAACATATGATCTTTTAAATGATGCTTTTGAATAAAGGATTTCTTACATACTTCACACATATAAGGTCTGTCACCTGTATGAATAATCATGTGATTCTTTAAACTACTCTTCCATGAAAACGATTTCTTACATACTTTACACACGTAAAGTTTCTCACCTGTGTGAATAAGCATATGGCTCTTTAAACTACTTTTCCATCTAAATGATTTCTTACACACTTCACATACATGAGGTTTCTCACCTGTGTGAATAAGCATATGACTGATCAATTTACTTTTGCAAGTAAATGATTTCTTGCACACTTCACACACATGAGGTTTCTTTCCTATGCATCCTTCTGTATGAATATCCATAAGCTCTCCTAATACACTGTATTGCGTTAAATCCACCTGAATATTATTCAGTCGTTTTAGCAATTAAATTAAATCTGACTCCATTCTATAACACAAGATAAATATTTTAAATAAACAATTACATTTTCTTGCTTAAGAAAGCCAAACTTTATTTTCTTTCACATTTAAGGAAAACAAAACATTATTCTAATCTTTCTTACTGTTGCCAAACTACAAAAACGAAACTTTAAATTACAAGGAAAACAACGGCTGTCGAAACCAACGAGATAATATACTGTTATAAGAAGTCGTTGGTCGAAACTCATTAACAAACATAAATCGTGGAGGTCACGGAGTCTCGTCTGGAGACCACCGGTCGAAATCGATATTGGACACACACAGAAATCGTATTTTATTCTCGAGTGTCAAGATGTTGGACACATCTTTTTACTCGACTTCTGATAAGAGTCAGGCAGGATTATAAAGAGTAGTGTGGAAGGAAGTGTGGGAGGCGGAAAAAGAGAGTCAGGTCCGCTCTAGGGGTAAGTTCAGTGTCGTTATTAGATGTAGCCCAAGGCCAACTAGATATCTACAGGCCTGCTCCACCGATTTGTGACGTCACAATCAAAGGCGATCGTTCCCACGGTAGACGCAGCCGACTGTTTCATTTATGTAGTGCGCAGCGTTTTATTTCCAACACAAAAGTCAAGTCAAATTAAATTTTACAACTAATATTTCGAATTTTAGGAATAATAACGTACTATGTTATATCGTAATGATATTTAAATACTAAATACCGATTTATTAAACAGAAAATAAAAATAAGATTTGAGTGATATTGTAAATTTAGCAGAGCTGATTTAAATTAAACTGAAACATATCTGAACTTTTATACGGAAATAAAATGGACACAAAAATTATTTATAAAAATTATATGGTATGATAATATCAATGAAAATATAACATATGTAATAAACTAAACATGAGATGTTTTCATTTTGTAATAAAAAGAAAAAATATGTTAAAGCTCTCAGATGATTTTATATTGCTTAAATTATGAAGACTGATTTATACTGCTTGAATACTAAACAAACACATATATAGTATTTCATAATAAAATTAATATCAATTCATTAATTCTAATATAATATTGCTTTATAATTGTTTTTGGTGCAATGATATTGAAGCAAAATGAACTCTTTCTTTTCTTTATTCCCATAAAGATTTTTCAAGATTCAATCAGAGATCCTAAGATGCTTTTTAATAATAAATACACATGTGGACATTAAGTGAAATACATAAATCTTATTAATACATTAATATATTAAAAGTATATCTGAAGTTTAGTCTACATATTGAAAAAAGATTCATTCTAAAGATGTTTTATAGCAAAAACATTACACAGAATATTCAAAAATATATTTCAAGTTCTCTTAAAAAAAGCAAGATCATAACTATGCAATCAATCCCAATGAGCATCATATCATGCTCCAAAAAATTCTTATGAAAGAAAATCTTATTAAAAATACACTCTTAATACATCTCATTAAAAATACACAATATTAAGCAATGAAAAATCCTGCGAGTCATTACGATAGTATAAGATACTGATTAGCCAGTTGAAATTATCATTTCACATCTGCAATAAGTTGTCATTTGAATTTTTTAAATATTAATAATGGAACATTATTATTGCAGACTCTGATGCGAGGTCCACAAAAAATAAACTTTATAAACTTGAATAAGTTTCTACGACTCACTGATATTACAATATATCATCTATATCATTCTATATACCAAAATGGATATAGTTTACAGATGCTTAGTATTCAATTAATTTAGACATTCTTTTTTTTTCTTTTCTTTTAAAAATATTTAAACTCTTTATACACCACATACTACTACATTAATTTGTATTGCTTAAATTAATTAGATTGATTTATACTGCTTAAATATTAAAAAGATATGTGATATTTCATAACAAAATTCATAAACATATTAATTTAAATAAAATTTTGATTTACATTATATTTACATGCAATTTATGAAGCAAAAGTTAAATAAAATTTTGATTTACATTTATGATTTTACATGCAATTCTATTGAAGCAAAAGCCATTTTTTTTTCTTTCTCATAAAAACATTTCAACTTTAATCCAATATCTTAAAGTACTTTTTAATTATAAACATACAAGTGAACATTTTGGGAAATATATGACAAAAAAAGTTTTATTTTAAAGATGTTTTTTAAAGCATGAACATTATCCGAGAAATCTTGTAGCATATCCAAAAATATATTATAAAATTCCCTGAAAACAAAGTGAGATCATAACTATGCAATCTACCCCAATGAGCACCATATCATGCTATAAAAAATTCTTATGAAAGAACATCTGATTAAATATACACTGTAAATTTATTTAATAATAGACAAATAGTAAAAGATGCATGCAGTATTAAGCAATGAAAAATCCAGCATATCATTACAATGTTATAAGATATTAATTATTAAGTTAAACGTCATTAATTCACATCAACAAAAAGTTTGCCATTCAAATTTTTGAAATATGAATGCCAAAACAGGCTTATCATTGTAGCCCCTGATTTGAGGTCTACAAAAATAAACATGATTTAGCTAGTTGATTTGGCTTACTTCAAAGGATTTCGATTAATGTGCCTTGAACTACTACTTTGTTTTGTTTTTTTAATCCAATCTATTAATGCTTGACAGTCTGAATCTGATTTAAATCCAGGTGGTTGTTCATATAAATTGGTTTATTCAAGTATCCATTTAAATATGCAGTTTTTACATCAAAAATCTTATTTTGTAGTTTTCGTAAACATCGTAATTTTCTTATTGATAGATCTTTCAACTAATTTCCAGACTTCATGAGCCTCCATTGAACTTAGTTCTTCTATCATTTCATACATCATACTACATAATCTTTTTTCGGTTGATCTTTACAATATGGTAACTGGTAGTTTGGCGACATTTTGGAGGTGATAAAGGTTACTACCTGGGACTTTGGTAATAATGTGAGCAGTACTCAGTTCCGATTACGCATTATTTTGCGTGAGGGAAATGAGAGATCATGGGATATGTCATGTGATATTAATGGACGGTTGCGGTATGAATTCGTTGGTGACGTTTATAATATAATAGATGATTTAGAGGTAAAAGTTTTTGGATATTTTATTTATTTTATATGTGGAAATGTTCATACTTGGAAAGGGTAAATACTTTTTCGCGATCAGGTAATTTCATATATGTTCTTTTTACCGGGTTTAAAGATTGAGAAAAATTGTCATGTATTTTCGTGAAATTTTTCTAATTTATGAGAAAAAAGCAGTGTACATGGATATAGTGAAGAGTGTGCGCAATGCCATTTTTGTGCAATTCTGGGATGTTTTTTTAAGTAAAAATAAGTCGGCGTGTACATGGTTTATGTGTATGTGTTATTTTGAAAACGCGTAAGGAGTATGTATTGTGTACTTTTTCCCAATTTTGCAGTGAATATTTGTCATGATTAAGCAGTTTTGTTTGATAAAATTTCTAGCATAAGTGTAATTCGGCTAGTAGATTGTTGGAAGAAGTGTTCAGTAGATAAAAAGAAAAGAAACATGTCTTACTTCGTGAAGACAAAATGGCGGTGGGGGAAAAAAAACAGAGGGTTGCTGTAGGAGAGTTGGTTGCCAAATTTCGCCAAAAAATCACCAAATACATAATGTAAAGATCAACCCTTTTTTCATTGTTCTCGCTCGTCTTTTCTTCTGCTTTAGTTTTGGTAAAAATTGCTTTTAAATCATGATCTACAATTTGTTTATCTTAAAGCTTGTATAATTGAAGCTATATCTTTCTCTTTATTACTTTTGATAATTTTAACAACAATCAACTTTAACGTCCTTCTAGTATGAGGTAAATTAATTTTTTATCTCTTATTTCATCCCAACTTGAATGCTTTTACTTTTCAGAATTACAGCTGTATTCATGTAAGCATCTACAGATTCGTTTTGACTCATTTTCAGTTGAGCTAATTCTTTCTACATTTGATATGAATATCTTCTGTTCTTGCCGCCATTTCATTTTTTATTTTCTCCCATCATTTCTTTGTATTCTGTTCATTCACATATTTTAACGCTTATGGAGCTGTCACAGTCTAATTCATTAGATTTCTTGCTATCGCATTATCATCCCATATTTCCCAAGTTTTTATTTCACTTTTAAAATTAACATCTTCCTTTTTGTTGGTTCATCAGCTTCTATCACACTTGTCATATTTTTCAAACTTAATTAACTTTTGATTTTGATTCTATTTGATCATATAAGGTAATTATCAATTCTATTTGCCCGTATAAGGTAATTATCAGCCAGCCCGTTCGCCGAGATTGGAACTCCAGACCAAACTATCAGTTTTCAGCTATTTTACCACTCAGCCACTAGTAGGCAGCAGCAAGTTTCTATGGCTCAGTTATGCACAGTTTGCAAATACTAATTATTTAACTTTAAAATTACATAAAAAATTCACCTAAATTCCAGAATTATTTTAATTTACCCATTTTTCTTTTTTGGTCATTGGTTTCCTTTAAATTGTTATTTTTAACCTTACAGTAATTATTCAGCAATATATTGGAAATGCATGTGGCACACAACTTTTCAACAAATCATGCAATGATTTGCCACACTCACAAATACTATCATTCCAAATAATCCTGTTTTCAACTTTCTCTGTGATGAGACTTATTATTAATATAGAACGTTGATTTTTTGATGAAATATATAATTTCTCATACATTTCAGATATTAGGATTGAAAATATTTTAAATGCAGAGGTATTAATGAAAAGCACGAATTCTGTTGGCCAAAATAAACCACCTCGATCAATAGCAGCTAAGTACGCAAAATCTTCCCAATATTCAACTATTATCATTTCTTTGTCAAGAATTAATTTTTTCCTGCAGAGATTACAATTTATATGCTTCAATACAGATCTACAAACATATCCAGAAATGTAAATTAGACACATTGTATCTTTTTCTGTAACATTAACATCATTGGATTGATGCAAAACATCAACAAATTCCTTATCAATAAGTTGATCATCATTAAAATCTTCAATATCATTACAAGAAAAATGTTGTAAAATAAATGAACCTTTCTCAGAAGACTGCATTTTAAGCAAACTAATTAATTTTAGT